TAGAATTAGAATCGAACAATATTGCGTGGAAAAGGCGGAATTCATAAATGAAAGAATAAATTTCAAAGAATATTTCGGAAAATTTATATTAAATGGAAATTCATCGAAGAATAATGGAATAAAATAATAATTTATTATTGAGGATGAATTGAACAGCAATATTAGCACCGATTTAAAATAAACTTAAGATTGAAATAAGGATCTTTTAACGAAAAAAAGAATAGCGTGAAATCATAGTGGATGGAGGTTCAGTACTACGCCATTCCATACCAACAATTTCTTAAAATTTTCATTTTTTTCTTGAAGATTATTTAAGGTAAGATTTTATATAATCGAATGATGCTGAATTTATGAATCGAATAAAAGATTTAAAATATTTTATGAGGCAAAATAATAATAGGCTATCTTATTATCTTATTTATTGTTATTTTTGTCCCTTAATTCATTTTAAACTGGATAAATATTTTTCTGCATGGGATTATTTAATCCATTTTTTATTAAACTATTCATTCTCAATTTTTCCCTTTAAAATTTAATTTTAAATTTAGCTAAAAAGAAAGAATGAAAATAACGAGAATAATATGATACTAATGTCAACGCAAAAAAAAAAAAATCTATTGACTTTTTGAAATCTGTTCTATGAATTTTTAAAAATTTAAGGCTTTAAAATGAATTCGAATGAATTCAAAGTGAAATTTATATTAAATTCAAAATGAAATTAAAATGTTAAATATATGAAAAAATAAATTAAAACATTAACTGATAAGCAAGTGGTTAACGCTAGCCATTTCTGGCTAGGCTCACTCAGATTTGCCAGGAAGTCATTTTGTGGTAGAAATACAAGTTGGTTGTCCTGGTTTTTGAATGGCATTTACTTTTACAGGAAATAGGAGCCAAGTGCTTACCTCTCTACATCATATATCATCTACTCGATCACCTTGCTTATTAGAAAAGATTTCTTCTTGATTGCTATTCATTGCCTTCATCATACCGCAAAAGATAATACAATATAGCTATTTAATACTGACGGCTGATCAGTGCTTGCTTCGGTTAAAGTCAAACAAGCATAGGTTGGTTCGTTTCCTACCTCTCTCTCGATGAAAATTATACCTATCGTTGAAAATTATATCAGATGTTGCTGAACTTCCAATTCAAAGTGAGTATGTGGCCTCATCTTAGTTGTCAATGAAGCAGCTACTCCAACTAGAAACGGCGAGTTAAAAATCAATCTTATTTCAACTCCTCGGAAGAAAGAAAAAAAGTAATTCAGTTGTAAAAATATGAGTCGTTAAGATCAATTTTTTAGCAATTTTCATAAAAATTTAAAATTCTTTTTAGTTTTTCAATAAAATTTGAGATATCTTTTTATTCTTTTACTGACGGCAATGAATTTTTAATGAAAAAAATAATTCCCACACTCGCTGCAGCTTGCCATTCCTTTGATAAGGAAATAATTTGAATCGTTATCTAAGAGAAAACTTTCTACATTTTCTGGTCAACGAAATAATCTTTAGGTGTTATGAATACAAGCGATAGTGCAGACTACTCCAGGAGCCGAAGGAAAGATACAACCTAGAAGTGAATGGAGCTAGCCAAACTAGTACGTGCTTCTACTCCTGTGATGATTCCTGAAATGAATAAAATATTCTTCGTTCTTTAATCAAGGTACTTCAGCTTCATTATTCATTTTATAATTCTATAAAGTTTTTTCATCAGATTTTATTGGGTTTATTCAAGTTTTCAAACGATTTTCGTTCAAATATTTTAATTTAGTAGGAAAAAATGAGTAAAGAATTCTTTGATGAAATAAAAAGTGAAATGAAAATAAGAATATAAATTACATAAAAGTTGCCTAAAATAGAATTAAAACAAAGAAAAATTTTTGAATAAATTTGAATTAAGCCCCCCTCCTAAAAAAATAAACGAAAAAATTTTCTTCTATTCTGTACTATCGAATTAAATTATTTCTGGATAATTTTCTATGGCTGCTTTTATCAATAAACCATTCTTCGAAACGCATTGTACGCATTATAATCTAAATTATCGTGTTGAGGGGCAATAGTTCGGCTCTCATCCTATCGTAAAAATTCTGATTTAAAAATTCTGATTGTGCTGGCGACCCATCTGTGCTTTTATTGTTCAATTATAGTAGAAATTCTTGACTGTATCTGCGAGGAGAGTTAGCAAGAAATGGAAAGCATTAACAACTTAACGAAATCATCAGCCTAGCTTTTCTTATTTATCCATGCAAGGGGAACCGTTTTCTAAGTCTAATTTTCAAATCAGCTTTTTTTTCGTTTCTTAAATTTTATTTTGGTTAGAAAACATTTTATTACGATCATTTATCAACATTCGTTATTTCTTCCTTTCTAAAAGAACTTTAAGAACTATAAAAAGTTGTAATAACGAAACGATGATGTTTCGATTAGCATTGCATATTGACCATTTAATGGATTTGTCTAAGAAATTTCCTACGAATCAACGAAATTATAGTTTTGAATTAGGTAAAATACTGATGAGGTAAAAAATTAGCAAGAAAATTTCTCGCAAAAAAATTTCGTATTCACGTTGGGAGGAATTCGAATCCAGGGTAAATTTTAAGAACACAATGAATACTACGAACACACATTGTATATGAGCGAAGTGAATATTTCTCTTCAGTCGTTTAATTTGTAAAAAGGTATATTAAATAATTGGTTAATAAATGAGATAAATAAGCAAACGGATGAAATCGGCAAATCTCTCTCATCTCAAAATCTCTCTTTAAATGTTCAAGCAAAGATTATCAAAAAATTAATTTTTGTTAAAGTTATAAACCGACAAAATACTATCGAAATAAAGGAAGCTAACGAAAGAGAGAAGATAAATGGAAAGAATTTTTACCTGACATTTGATCAATTCATAAATAGCTGCAGAACATTGGTTATGGACAAGGTTTACTCTTCAGCAACCGAGCAACTATTGCTCAATGCGCTGTGTGGATATCGATTGTTGAGGAACGTTGTAGCTTGTAGGATTGTTTCGATTTTCCAAGTCTCTTCTCGTGCTCATTTTATGCATTTATCCAAGCAAGATCTATCACTCTACTATCTTCTTCTTCGACTCTCTTCAATTTCTTAAACTTCAATCAACTTACTCCAACTTTCAAGAAATTCCACCTCAATCTTCATCGACAAAAAGTTGGAAAAATGCATTTCACTAAAATGCTTAATTTTACTAAATTTTCCATTTCATTCCGATTAATTATTTGTTCCTTTACTTCTGGTAGCATTTTCTGATTTCGCTTTCTTCATTGATATCGAAGTGCAGATGGGACCACAACAGTACTCAAACACTTCAGCTTTTATATGATTATGGTATTACCATTATCTTGATAATTATTATCATTATTATTTCGTTGACATCATTAATGAAGTTTAGCCCCATTTCTAAAAATGAGACATATATTTGGTTCGAAATGTGCGACACTGACTTCTTGTCATCATTAGTTTTTTCATCATTTCTGGAAGAAGATGCATTTCTTCTTTAACAATGCAATAAACATAATTCAATCTTTGTCACAGTAATATTTATAAAAATGCTCATTTAAATTTTTTGTCGAAATTATTTGATGATTACTTCAAGTTAAAAACTCAAAATCAGACTGACTTCGATTCAGTAAAATGTTCGTCAAATTTAACCAAAAGCAGTTGAAATTCGATTCGTTTTGTTCAGTTAATATCACAACAATTTCATTGTGGCAAAATAAAAGTTTATTAAAAGAAAAATTTCTAATTTAATGTTTTTCCAGCAAACTCAATAATTTGTCTACTTTTTGAAGAACTTTCTTGCTGAATTTACTTCAGTTATCTTCAATTTACCATCTATTTTCAATCGTGAAATTTGAAATATTTTTTTAAATATTCAAAAATTTATAAAATTATATAAATTATATCAGTATTATATCAATTTGCTTTTTTTCCGATAATAAAGCATTAATTAATTCTAAACTCGACAGTGAATTTTTATTTCATAAATAAAACTTTAATAATATAGTTTATTTCCAAATGATAAACTTATGGAAATCCAACCATTATCACCAAATTTGATAATTCTCTTGCACGGAAATTTTGAAAAAATTTGGAAAAATAGAAATTAGCTGATTGATTGGTTTAAATGCCAGTCTTTTCAAAAAGTTGGAATTCTATTTTAAGAAATCCTTCAATTAGAATTAGTTATATAGTGAAAAAATTGACAATTGACAATTTTTGAGTAATTATAAGTGTTTTTTTTTTTGCAATTAATGATCTGAAAAAATGAAACACCATCATATAAGCTTAATCCGATTAATAATTCAGAAGAATTATGTCAATGGGAAGACAATATACATATACTCATAGATAATATATATATATATATATATAATACTAAAAAAAAGTTGCATAAAAGTTTAAATGAGCAAAAAATCTTAAAGCTGCATGGTAACACCTTTGGCTTATAGGCTTATTTTCCTATACGAAGTTATCATCGAAATGAGCTATAATTTCAGATAACATTTTTATATTTTATTGTACTGGATTCACATTTTATTCTCTCGCTTCAATATTGGTTTCAAAATTTATATATCCAATATATTTCCAGTTATATTTGACATAAACCTTAGTTTTCGGTAACATATCGACAATTTTTTAACTTTCTGCCGAATATTAAGTAATCGAAAAATGCACTAAGGAAATTTCATATTATATATTTCATATTATTTAATGGGTAGGCACCTTTCGCTTCTTTGATTCTATTTATTTAAGCAGTAAATATGACTGCTCGCTATTCGGTTCGCTCAAATAAAATGAAATTTCTCAAAAATATTTTTTTTTTTTGAATATTATTTATTGTAATATTCTACTGATTCAAATACCACTTAAAAAAATGTGGGAATTGTAAATTAATGAAATGCACAAAATGTAAATGAATAAGAAAATTTTTTATAAGTATCAAAGTCAACAAAATACTTGATTTAATAGTTAATCAAATAATCCGAAGCCCATATCATCATCTGATTCTTCTTTTTCTTCCTTCTTTTCTTCTTTATTTGTTTCAACTGCTGGTGCACCTTTTATATCTGAAGTGGCTGAAGAAGTTACTGCAGGTACAGCTGGATCTAAAATAAAAATTTTAAATGCGAATAAATATAAATATTAAAGGGAATAATTGAAGAGAATATTGAGAGAGAGTGTGGAAGGAAATAAGAAATTAGGAAACAAGACGAACAATTTTCAATTTTCAGAATATCCAATTTCCTTTTTCCATACCGAATTTGTACCAAGCAAATAAAATGCAACATTGCACTGATATGAAAAGTGAAAATATAAAACTTTAAAAAAATACTCGAAGAAACTACAGCAAGATAACGAGATCCGTTAGCAATTAATTCATCAATTGTTTTACCACTCATTTTTTGCACAACTGCCGCTGCCTGTTCATTATCACAATCAATTCCAACTGCACCAAGAATATTTTCAATATCAATTTTTGAAACGCCGTGCCTTCCACCTATTGCAGCCAACATGTATGCTGCAACGTATCGCATTCCTTGCCTATATTCAGTTGTTAGTTAGTTCAGTTGTCAATTATATAAAAATGAATGAAGAAAATACATAACACATTTGAAAAAGACGTTAAATATTCAAAATTATAAAATGATGAAAGAAAAAACAATAAAAATAAAGAATTAAAATTAAAAATTAATAACTAAGCAATAAGTTCATAAGAAAAACTATTTTAGCAAAAAATTACTGACGAAATTTAAAAAATATTTATCACCAAAAAAACAAAGAAAAATAGAGGAGATTCAATAATCTTCGGATAAGCGATATGTCTGTGCATTCGTTTCGTTTTTCTTGCCATTTTTCCTCAAATTCTCTTTCCTCTCCTTTCACTCCTTCATCGAAACCTCCTACCATACCTCCTACCATCGCGATATATCAATTGACCCTTTCTTCGTATAAATACTTGGATTCTTGTGCCTATAGCCTCTTTGATTATCATATTCCCTTCGAATCTTATATTTATTATCAATTATTTCACTGTCAATAAATTGTCGTCCAATCATGCAACAATTCGAAACGATCCTGGCTCGACATGCAAACTTCGCGTCTGAAGTCGATCTCTGTTAATCAGTGAATTTATGTCCAGAAAAAACCGCATCATACCACTTTTTAAACCATCAAAATTCTCTCTCATTTTTCTCCCATTTCCCTACAAATACCCTTCTTCAATTCCCTTCTGTTCCTTCTTCCCACAATCAAATGTATTTGCAGGATAGATGAATAGATATTGCCTAAGATTGAAAGGCAAGAGTTCGAAGAGTCCTCCTGCTCTTGGCAACAGGAATGTAGTTCTCATCAAAAAATCCTCAGTTACGCTAACAATTTGTACTTCTATCGCCAATACTCATTTATAAAATCTTCTCAAGCCATCCAAATTCCTTTCAATTTCATGGTCCCCTCTACGTCAGCAATGTCAGCAACCTCCACCAATAAGCCCTTTTTGACCTCTTCGCCCCTTCTAACTGACCCGTTGAATCGTTTGGTTTAAAATCGCGCATTTACGATTCTAATGCTATCAGTGTAAATGGAATAAAAATTTTGCCCACTACTAATTTATTTATTTAACTCTAAAAAGATAAAAAACTAAAAGAAAGAAAACAAACAATGGAGGAATTCAAATGTTATCACTCCTCAAGAAAATAAGCAAAAAATTGGAATTAATTACTGTTAAAGAATAAAATAACGATGAAAAATAATTAACAGCGCTGATTAAAATAAAAAATAAAATTAAAATTAAAATAATAATTAAAACAAAAAATTAAATTAAAATAAAAAACGACCAACAAGTAAATAAACAGAATATTTAATGAACAAATGAAATAAAAAATATTTTACTGAAAATTAATAAAAATACAAAAGAAGCAGGGAAATCTGCCAACTTCGAGAAGTCCACGCTGTTCCTCTCAAGAAAGCACCACCCTAGAACATTGGCAAACCAATCGGTAGGTGAACGCCAATTTCTCAAGGACATTCTACCAGGCAATTGATAATCCTGTTCGTCTTCTCTTGCACCATGTTCTTAAAATTCGGCTTCTGAAGTTCGATCCACATAATTCAGTGTTTTATGTTTTTTCATTGGGGTGGGGGGGGGGGGGGGGGGGGGGGGAGGTAGGGGTGGTTAATTGAAAATAAAAAGGCACGAGAGACCGTCATCAGGTCAAAGGTCATAGCTAAGTGAAAAAAGCGCGTTATGGTAATGCGGTAATAGTATTATTCTTTATGAGGTTTAATTCGACTAAAAATCGTTTAGATCAATTTAATATTAATTTTTTTTTTATATTTAATAAGTTCGAAAATTCTAAAAAGAATTTAATTTAGATCGTTTTTTACAAAATGAATTAAATTACGAATTTCCTAAGTTTTTGCTTTTTCGACAGTTTTTAAACCTCAATCATTATGGAACATTGTTATGCTTAGAAGACAAGCTGAATGTCGCAGGGAATGGTTCGGGTTCGAATCCGGCAGGTGCGTTATGCCTGAGGGCGATAGTGCCGAACAGCGAAGGGGAGTGGAAAGCTCAGTGGACTTTCGTTCAGTTCGATGCTAACATTCCTTCCTCGCGAGAGTAAACCAAAAAGTTTCGGGTGATGCTGGCGATTCACCTGTATTTTCTTGTCGCCAGGTAATTCTCTGGCATAATTGCTTGGTCCAGCGGTGCGAGCCTAACCAGCAGCAGTGAGCACTTTTTAAAGAATCCAATTATCTAAATCGTTGAATTCTGGAAAAATTTTCTTTTTTAATTAGTTATTTTATTTCATTTTCAAGTAAATATTTATTGTCTGATAAAGGTACAACGAAATATATTACGATGACTGGCGTTTCGTGTCCTTATTAAGAACCTATACTTATAAATTAGAAATTAGTTTAAGAAAATAAAATTTGAAAAATTACGAAATATATGAATTGTTGAAATATAAGAAAATGGCTAATATTCATAAGGTTTGACCTGAAATTTGATGCTAAAGAGATTTTATTACTTTTTTAACGACTGAACGACTTCCCTTACGAAGGCATCGTTATTTCTCTTCGCTCTGTTTGTCGTTTATTCCTGGCGTGACCGTTCTTATAAAAATGCAGCTCGAATTTTTCGTTATATAAAGAATCTCAATTTCTTTCCCTTCCAAGTACCTCAAAAAATAACTTCCCGAATGGAGGAGTATTGTATACAACTCGGTGTTTCGCTAAGAGCAGATTTTGGTGCGATGATGTGATAAAATGAAAAGATTCTTAAAAAGCTCGTTTCTGGATGGATTCTCACGGGGTCTGCAGGTTTCCCTCACGTATTTCTCCACAGTCACACGTATCTTTATAAATTTAGCCTCTATTTCAATTTAATTTTATTTCAATTTTTATAAAGAATTCGTTACAGTTATTCGACAAAAGAAAAGAAAATGTATGTGCTTGAACCATATTTTAATTCAATGAAAGTAGTTCCAGCAGATTTATTGTATAAATTACCTAATTATCATCGCGAATTTCTTAGCGGTATGTTGGTCCACAAAACTACCATCCTTTTAGCAAAAGATCGAATTCTTTTTTTTTGAAATCTTTCTTATTTCTTTCCTTTTTTTTCTATTTTTGCTGCAGTCAGTCTCTATTTCTTGCAACAGTTTAATTTATACTTCTATTCTCTTTCACCTCGCTGTCCTCTTTCCTTTCACTAATTTCTTGTTTTATGAGTAAACTGGGAGTTTTTGCTGACCAGATGGCAAAAAACAGGTCAATTTAAAAATTTAAAATTTGTTGATAAAATAACCGTTTTTTTTTCAGAAAATGGCATCGAAGCAATTGCAAACGAACAAACTGATTCAATAAAATTACTGGAAAATCGTCAACTACAATTAATTGAGGATTTAAAGCAACTTGTAGAAAATGTCACCGAAATGCTTTTATCAACTCAAAAAAATAAGAAAACTAAACAAATTGTCGAAAATACTGACCAACAACAAGAAATTGTAAAATTCATTAAAGGTGTTACTCCATTCTGCTACATACAAGTTTGTTACTGCAATTTTCAATTAATTTTATTTAATATTTTACGAAATAAAGATTCGTACACTTTATACCTTCTAATTATTTAAAGAACTTTATTTAAGAAATTAGTTATTTCAGAAAAAAGACGAAATAAGTGGAGTAAGGCAGACATTATCTGCAAATGAACGTCCTTCTTACGCTATGTTTGAGACATCAACACCATTTAATTTGATATCAATAAATATATCAAGAAGAGAGTTGAATTGGCTTAGGCATATAATGGAACTTGGTGCTAAAAGATCGATTTCATTCAAATGTGATGGCTTAAGAGCGGAAAATATTGAAGCTAGATATAATATTCAAGTCACTTTGCTAGATAATGGTGAATTTTTTCTCTTTTACTAATTTTCTCTTGAAATCATTGAATTGATTTTCATTTGATATTCTGATATAATATTGGTAGGTTTGAATAGGTTTCTAATCAGATAATTGCAATAAATCAAACATTTTTCTTTGTTTTTAGAAGATTCACAACCTGAAGCAAATATTGATGGAAATATTATAACGGGACGAATTGGTGTTTGGAAGATCTTAGGAGTTTTACTCGGTATCTATCCATCGTTTAATCAAAGTCCAATCATTTCAACGCATATCGATGGATGGTTATTAACAATTAATGCTATATTTAATGGACATATAAATGAAGATAAAGTTTATCGTTTAATGAATAATATTTTGGGTTGTAATGATTATTTAGCCAGTACGTATTCAGCAACATTAGCTGATTTAGTTGCTCATAGTATCGCTGAAAATTTGGTATCATGTGCAAATAATCTAGAACTTTGGATGAAACGTTTAAATGAAGCTATTCGTTAATTGTAATAGTTTCTAATTTACTTTTTTTTTTATTTTTTTTACCGGTATTTTTGGTTACTCCTGGAATAATTTATTGGGTATTTCTTGTTTTTTCTTTATGCGAGGCAGTTTTTTTTATTTATTTCATCGAAATTTTGAGGTTTTTGTTCTATAGTAGAGATTGCTTTATTTGTAATATTGATATTTTTAAAAAAAATTTAATGAATAAAATTTATGGTAGAAAATTGAATCATAAAAATATAAAAATTTTCAGTATTCAAGCATCAATTTATTTATTTATTTATTTATACAATTTCTTGTTTATTTATTGTTCGAAATTTCAAGATTTATCTATAAATTATAGATAAATCACTAAATTTTAGGTTTTAGGTGAAGTTCGGAAATTTATTTCTTATTATTGGTTCTAGATTTAAAAATGCCTTTCATGCATGGATCAATGCCACTTCGGCGGACCTACTTTTATTTGAATCAGGGAACAATATTCTTTCGAGATGTCGTGAAGGTTTTGTTTTCTTTATCGGTCAAAAATTTAAATTTTTTCCATTTTAGGCATTTATTTTTTAATTTGCTTGAGTTAATTTTCATTTTAATTTTGTATATTCAATTTTTTGCTTAATTTTCAGGTTCTTGCATTCGGTTTTCATCGGAGACCAACACCTGAACAAAAAGGAGCTAGGGATTTTATCTTTTGGCATTGGGCGCAATTGCAGTTTCAAAATCCAAAGGTTCAGTTGGTTAAATATGTTGATTTCACTCCGATACCATTTGTTCAAGCTTTCCTTGGTGAGCTTTTTTTCTTTTTAAAAAGCCCTCACCATTACTGGTTAAATTCACTCCGCTGGCTTGTCGAGCTAGATAGATATACCAGAGAGTACCTTGGCGTTAGAAGTACAGATGAATTGCAAGCATCACCCTTTGGTGAGCTTACATTCATGAAATAGTTTATAATATAATTTTATATAATATAGTTTTCAAAATGAAAGATGAAAAAATCAAATCATAATTTTAATATTTAGATGACGGACGTGAAGTATTATTTGATTTGGATGGAAAAAGTCGAGAAGAGATTATCGAAATATTAAAGGGAACACTTGGCAAAACAAATTTAGTGCTAAGACGGGAAAAGTTTGAAAGAGTAATCGAGAAAAATCCGAGTTCATTTGGTGAGGATTGTTCAAGGCAATGTATTTGCACCGTGCAAGGTCAATATCCATGTACTGGATTACTCGCTGCACCCGATTACTTGAAAGGAACTTGGCGATGGCATAAAAATTGTCGTGAGTAGAATTCAAAAAATTTAAAATTTTCAAAAAAATTGATTTATATTTTTAATGATATTATAAATTATTGAAAAATTTGGCCAATCATCGCTTAGAATGAATTAGATCAATGCGGTAGTTAGATATCCATTGTTTTATAAATTCAAAAAAAAATTTGAAATGATTACAAAATTTTTTTCCATCTTTTGTTGAATTTAAATGAATAGTTGTATTGAAATAAATATTAGTTGTATGGATTTTTTATAAAATGAAATTATATGTTTTTATTTTTTGATTTTCTTCGTATAGCGATTATTGAATTGAGTATTGAATGTAAACAGAATTCAACAGAATTTTTTCACGTAAATTTGTCTATATATGTGATTTTTGTTTGCCAAATTGCTTTCTATTGCTTTTTTAAAATTCATTGAAGCAAACGCATTAAAAATGTATTTTGATCTTTTAAACCAGTTTTACAAGGTGAGCGAATGAGGGATTGCTTTAGCAGAGGGCGAGGTGGTTGAATGACGATTTAAGTGAGTTCGAGCATACGTTCGATTTCTGCATAGTGAGGAAAGCTAAATTTTTTAGCTTTAACAGTGAAATATTGATATTGAAGTGGTCTCAGCCATATCTCTTTTCCAAATATTTGTCGACCTAATAGTTAGTGGAACTAGCCAAGCCAGAAGTGGTGAGTGTTCTTAGAAGGAAAAGGCTGAGTTAAAGTGATCATGCAGTAATTATTTGCAAAAAAGAGAAAAATTTCACATTAAGAAAATTTATCCAACAAGAATAATAAATCGTTACTACAGTTCTTTCTTAAACCAATATATTTTTTTAAATATTAAAAGTTTAAAGTAATTTTTTTTCTAAATCTATCAAACTCATCAAATCTATCATATCATTTCTCATTATCAAATTTATCATATCGACTGTAATGCAGTTATTCATCTTTTATCTAATTCTTTTATTATGTTGCTGATTTTGATTTTTATTTAAACGATTATATTTATATTTATTTGTCATTTCATCAAGATAAATTTGGAAATAATCGAGAAAGCCCGAAAAAAAATTTCTAACAATAAATTTATTGTGGAACGAAGCCGATAAATGGAAATTGTTTAAAGAGGAGAAGAGAAGGCAAAGGGATACATAGAATTTGTGGAGAAGTAGTGAAATAACAGAGAGAAATAGTGAAGGAATAGTGGAGAAAACTGAAAACGAATTATCTCCAGAAAGGGTTTTTCATCGGTTAGTTGAATTCGTCATTGCTGATGACCTCGCATTTCATGTTTTCGGATTGCGGATCAATTTTCTGTGGGTCAGTTATGGTTCATTGATTGAATCGATCAACGTCGTCCGAGATTCATTTCATTCATTTCTACGATGGATTCATTAATTGATTTGGCCGACATATTACAGCCAATTCCAGAAAATATTATTCGTTTACATCGACAAGTTAAAATAAACGAATTTGCTGTTAATATTGAAGTATATTTTCCTTTCTTTCATACTTTTTTATTTAATATTTAAGGAGGAGGAGGGGGCAGTGCGACACAATGCATAATGAGTCGAGGGGAGGAGAGGAGGGAGACACTATAACACAGTGGATTGTTAGTCAGACTGTTCTGTTGAAAGGAAGACGAGAATTGGTACTCTCCTCAGAAAAGATGTCATTATTCCGGGCTGTTGGTCTCTGCAGCCTGCTTATACTTCTATCGCTGAGTTAACTTTGGCGAAAAGTTTCATACAGGCAGCCAGCAGGACTATCCTAAACGGCTCTTTTTTAAATTGTTTCAATTGCAACCTTTTGTTTCGCCCAAATGATTATTAAATGAAATTTAATAGAACTTGGAAAATGGGCTTCAAATTTATCTTTTTTAAGAATAAAGAATAAAGGCCACTCAAATTATACGCGAAATAAAGCGTCCTAAGTCTTTTTTTTAAATTTCATTTAAATTAATTCATTAAACGCATTTGAATTTGAACGCTATATGTTGCGGTTAGTTCCTCTTGTTTTACGATCGGCTTATAACCATATTTAAGCATTTGCCAGTTCAGCTTTGCTTCACGCTGGTTACGAAAATGACGTTTCTTTGCCGGAGAGTTCTTAGGAGTAAAGGCATCGGAGTTTTAAGCACCATGTCGACTTCCCCTTGAACCATCATAATATTCGCCATCCGTCACCTAAAGTGAAATGAACAGTTTTTATTGTTCTTTTTACTGCAGGAAATTTTATTTAAATGGTTATTATTCAAGCTCACTATGTCTTCTTTAATAATGACAATATAGGAAAAAATTCAAAGTAAAAATTAAAACTCACAAGCTTTTATTCATTGAATCACCACATATTAAAAATGTCAAATATTCTTATGAATATTAGAGTATTATTATTATTTTATTATTATTATTTTTAAATGTTTTGTTTATTTTAAATTTTTTATTTTTTTTATTTTAAATGATAAATAGTGTTTTAATTATTTAAAATTTAAATTTAAATTTTAATTTTATTTATTTATTAAATAAATAATATAAATAAATGATGAATAAACAAATTTATAAAAATAAATAAAATAAATAAATTTGTTTAAAAAGATTAAATTTAAATATTTTTAAGGAATATGAGATATTTTATCGAAACGCTGATCCACCTTTGAATAATTTTGCAAAAGGTAATGTCTTGTTAATTCATGGGCAGTCGTTCTCCTCGAGTACATGGCTTCAACATTCCACAATGGAGGTTTATCTATTTTATGGACTTGGTTGAATTTATTTTCTTAATTGATATTTGCCGGTTCTTCGCCTAAATTATATCTGGATGTGTTGTTTAACGAATGATAAAGGACCAGATGGAGATCATTATGGTTTTATTGGATTGAAATAAAAATTTGTCATGATTATGATTATAATTATGATCGACTAGCAGTGATAAATTGAAAGGAGAGCTGTCGATTAACTTCACTAAAATTGCTGATTAACAGTGTTTGAAAATTAATATTTTATCCAAAATTTTAAGGTAATTGCGGCAGCTGGTTATCGAGTAATCGCGATTGATTTGCCTGGTTGTGGAAAAACTAGAGGTCCTGCTGTACCTGATGAGAAAAAAGCTGAAATTTTATTGCGCACTATCAGAGCCCTTGAACTTGACTCGGTATGTGTCTTTTACTTTTTTATTTGGTAAAATCTTTTCCAATATTTTTTTCTTCCTTTTATGTTGTTTTTATTATTTTTTAAAATAACAATAATGAAATCTCTTTTCCAATCTCAAAATTTTTTTTTCGAAGCTGATGAGTCCATGGTTTATGAATTGAAGTACTTTTTATTCTTTCTTTTCTTTGTTATTGCTATAGAATTTAGGAAATTTAGTTTGCATTTATTAATTTTTTTAGGTGATTATAATTGGACATAGTATGGCTGGACAGTATATTATACCATTGCTTGGAAATGAACGAATACGATGTATTGTAGCTATAGCATTGTCAAATACAAACATGGTGCCGCTGAATGCAGAAAATATAAAAACACCTGTGCTTATAGTTTGGGGTGATAAAGACACTAGTCTTGGTCCAACTTGTGCTTCTAACTTAAAACGGCTTCCGAATTCCAAGTATTTTTTTAAATATTTTTCAAACATTTTGTTTGAATTTCTTTCAATTTTGATTTTTTATGACAATATGTGAAATATTGGATTAAAATTATATGTAGCAATGGTTCGAATCGCAGCCAGTCTTCTCTACTTTTCTGATGAGGGTTCTTGGGCAAGATTCTTATCTGCCTAACATCAATCTCCCTGGCCTGTGGTAAAGGGGCCCAGGTTGAAGGTACTCATACCACCCATCATCTCTCTAATCATTTGACAAATGGCTTGTTTTTATTGTTAATTCAAAAAGATTAATACTAAGGTCAAGGTTATACTTTATTATATTTTCAGTTGTTTCAATTGTTTTGAGGATTTTCTCATTAAATGTCTACTTTTTATCTTTAAATAAGGTTTTTAACTCATTTCAGGCTTTTGAAAATAACTTCTGCAGGGCATGCATGCTATTTAAACGATCCGCAATTATTTCAGTCAGCATGTTTAAATTTTTTTGATTTGGTGAGACATTATTCAAATTGCTAAGATAGACTAATTTTTTAAATTTATTTAATTTACATCAGCGATGCTTTCTTTAGATGTTCAGCTTTTTTCAATTTATTCATGCAAGTTATTTTTTGTTGGTTTTGCTGATAATGTATTATTTTGCTGATATCATACTGTAGTATTTTTGTTATTTTAATTTTGATATTGCGTAGATCTCGTTTTCGCTAAATCACTATAAAAACGAAAGCCCGCATCCACATAGTCGCAGTTCGTTAGATCTTGTTATTATGGCTGCAAGAATTGGCCATTGAGAATGGAGAATGCCTTGCCTTTGACCACCCATGTCCAAGATATATGTTACGGGTTCACCGAGCGAATAAAATTGATTGCATCCACTTTTGCTCAAATACCACTCACACTTATAGTACCGTCGTAGAACATCGTGTCCGCTGTTTAGGGCATGTTCTTCATCACCTACCATAGGAGTTGACATATTTCATGCTAAACTCTGATGAATGGCGAGGTGGACCAATCAAGACCTGGATTGATACAATCAGGAAAGATTTTTAATATATAGGTGGAATGATGTATGGACTTAGAGGATGAAAAAATGAATGGCTTCTGTTACTGCCATCGACGGATCGAGCAGCTTATTTGAAGCATTTGGAAAAAAATAAAAATTGGTATTGAAGAATGGAACACTTTTTTCTCCAAACGATGAAGTTCAAGCGCTTTTTTTCTATCAAAAATCACAATTTAGCCTCAACTTTAGTGTAAAAATTTAAATTTCCATCTATTTCATAATTATCTGCGGATTTTGTTTTCTTTCAATAGCATTTACATTCTTTTTTAACAAAATATTTCTCTGAAAATTTATTTTTGATCGAAATAAATTTCTCTAAAACATAATAAACATAATAAATTGATGGATGGCAATGTGTTGCTTGTCAGCTCAAGCAACATAGCCCAATTCTGCTGGTTAATGGATGAAGAACAAAAATTTCACATAAATGAAATTATCAGCAAATTTGCAAACTTCGATCAAAAAGTTAACTTATTCTAATTATAATCCTTCTCTTGAAATGATTTGTTTTCAACTAAAAAATTTCATTTTATTAAGCTAATTTGTTGTTTGATTACATTGATATTGCTTGGATATCAATCAGTGAAAATTGTTTAGTGTAATAAATTTTACATATTTGCAAAACTTCGATTTAATAGGAAATTGATTGCGCATTTTTGCATGTCAACAGAATTAAATTTTTAAAAAATATATGAATAAAAAAGTTTGTGGAACTGTGGAATTTCGCATTTTTGCTAAATTATCTGATACTTTATATTAAAAAATATCTTTAGACACCAAATATAAATCTCTGAGAAGGAACAGAGGCATTTGTCTGCGAAACTGTCGTTACTGAATGAAATTCTAGAACAAAAACTGAGAAACTGTGAAAGTAGTCACTGAAGAAAATCATATGAAAAAAACCATTTCAGCTACCAAATTATTATTTTGCAATAAATGCTGAAATGTAAAGCTGATTGTTATCAACAATATTCAGCGTATGCAAGTATTCTATTGTATGATAAAAAATTTGTAAGAATTCAAAAAAGATTGGGCCGAAAGGTTAATGACATCATGTGGAGGTAAAGTGGTCGAATGTCTTGTAGCTTAGATTGCAGTCATAGTCGGCTCGACTATTCCAGTCATTTTAAGGCAATAGTCGCCAAAAGTAAGACACGGATAAGGCTGTGAATGAACCCAAAAGCTTTTAATACTAAATGATGGCGATAATCCGTAGAGCAGCCAAGCTAAAAATGGCCAATGATATTTCAAAAAAAAAAATATACTGAATGAACAGCGATAACAAAAGAATTAGAAAATTTACATATGGATCAACACTCAACCTTTTAAAGAGATTATAATTTGAATCGAATGGGAAAATTGTGGCCGTTCTTTCTAATTAAAAATATCCTTGGATGTCGATGACTTTAGATTTTGTTTGTTTTAATTAGTTTACTTGATCGGTCAGATATAAGAAAATTTTTCATCACATATATATATAATAAGAATCATGCTATTTCTAAAAGATTTTTTTATTTTTGCTCATTTTTTCAAACTTTTTTGCACAAAACCATAAATGATGCAATTGCTTCTTAGAGATACGTTTAGACACTTTTTTGAGTTCTCTTGAGATTTTTCTGTTTTATTCTGGATTTATAACAGTGCTTTCGCTAAACAGCTTAAATGAGCGTTTTTTTAATGGCAAGAAGAACGATTCTTTTTTTGCCAATGACCAATACATTAATTTGGCACAATTTAACAATTCTGATAATTTATAGAAATCATAAGCGCCAAATTTCGATTTCAACTTTTTCATTTAAAAAATATTTTTAAAAATAATATGATAATATGATACAGCATCGAGATACTCAAATAAAAAATTTAAAAAAGAAATATGACTCGGATCGAACGCGAAAAACAATTTTTTATCCAAAAAATTTTCACGATTGATCTATTCTTATCAATTCAATATTTATCAATTCTTTTTCGCTGCATAAATTGGGTTCCAGTTCATGTGCAAAATTGCAATATTTTTAATGAAAAAAGTAAGATCGATCGATTGATTCCTCTCTTTAATCGCGTGAAGAATTTATTAATTAAAAGTAATTTTTTTCAAAATGCAGGTACCATTTTCTATCACCGCTGGAGAATCATTTGGGGATAAAAATACATGTGGATTCTTAATGCCTTATGGGTTTCATTATAACGAAAAACTTAACTCGCGCAAGGCAACAAGAACGAAGCACTATCAAAATGATCAATATTGAATATGGAATTTCTAAAGCATTTCGTTCATCATCGCTATCAAATTTTTAAAAAACCGAAATATTTATCAAATTTCATATAGATCGAAACAAATAGTACCAAGAAAGAAATTAAAGCAACTGAATTTTTTTGGCACTTGTAATATCGCTTTTTTTGGAACAAAGCAGTAATAAACTTTGCAGATGAAATCAATGCACAATTTAATTGTATGCTTAAATATTTAGATTTTTTTTTCATTGATCAGTACAATTTTGCAAATATTTTATAAAAGATGGCTGTCTGAGTAAAATTCCCATACTTTTTAGAAATGTCTTAGAATATCTGTACAAATCCCATAATTATTTAGGCTTAATTCGTTATTCACAATTTTTTTAATTTACCTGGCTGCACTGAATAGCAATTTGCCACAGTCTTTTGCCAGAGAGTTCGCTTGGAAATGTGAGTCACTAGCATCACACGGTTTAAATAGAATTGAAGAAGAGATTTTAAAAAGATTATATCGAAATATATTTTAATTTTGTAAATTGCTGATTATTTTAATTTTTTAAATTTTTTAAATTATTTTGCATGAAAAATAAATATAAATGCGTAAGTGCTATCTCGGACTGCTTGCCAAAATAAAATGAATCGTTTGCTCGCAATAACTCATCAATGTTTTTCTGATCCCATTTCGACTTGTTTCCTCACTTATAGTTATATTAATTAGCTTAATAGAAATTTTTTATACACTACAGCTCGAAACATTACGATTTCAATTTATTCAAATTTAGTAATTGACCGCAAATAATTTACATGAATAATAAGGTTAAGAGCACTTTTTTAAAGGAATCTATCCAAAAATTTTTAGTTTTTTTTACCATTCTTGTTAATTATATCATTTTCACAGTTGTTACATTTTTAATATTCAATTGCTGTCATAAGTAAAAAAAGTTTAATGTCAGAACATACAAAAAGTGATTTTTGCTTATTATATTCTTTTCGATTTTTTTTAGAATTTCTTTCCTTTGAAAATTTTTTTAATTTTGAATTTTTTAATTTCTATCACCTAGTGAAATTTAAGTCAAGACTTTAAGAAATCTAATAATTTTTTAAAAAACAAATTGTTTTTCAAGAAAACTGCTCAAGTCGGATTTTATATTTTATAAGTTCATCGCTTTCCATAAAATTCTATGCTCAAATTTATCTTTCATTTTTTTCCTTTATAATCCCTTTTTTTTCATAAAATTCTTAGTGAAACAAATCGAGATATAAATAATATTATAATGTTATGATCATGACCTTTTTTAATTTTTTAAAGAATACATTTTGAAGATTATGCATCAATTTTTTGAAATTCATTCTTTTCATTCATTTCTGAAAAATTGTTCATTTGCCAAAAATCAACAATTCAAGCTCCATCTAATTTTTCCAGAGGCAAACTGAATTGATGCATAATCTTCAGTATTTTGCTTTGTTCAATACTGAAATTTTACATTAAGAAAAATTAAATGGTCAATTAACATCACATCACCATTTCTGATTAAACTAGTCGGCTGAATGTTAGAAATGTTTGATTTATTTTGTACCAGCCGGCTTCGCAACATGATAATCTGAGCCATTGTCCATTCGACTTTCAAAATCTAAAACTATATAAAATATTTTGAGAGATCATATATGAATAAGGTACTATATAAAAAACACAATAAAGGATAAAATAATTTGTATATCTAGTTTTATTCATAATGATATTCAGCAAAGGATTATAAAAATATCTAAAATAAAAAATCGTTTTCATTTTCTTCGATATGTGCAGCGTTGTAACTCATATAGAAATAACTCATATAGAAATAATCAATGATATAAAATGATAGAAAAATAGAAAAATATACTCCTACATACACAAATTACATGTATACATGTAATTTTGACTTCAGCCATAAAAATTTAACGAAGAAATGTTGAAAGCAAAATATTTACATTGATTTTTATCCAGAATTGCACTTTTAATAATTAATTTTAAAAAATTTTCTTACGTAAATGAAGGGATATCATTTTTCATTTATCATTTTAGATGAAATATTCACTAGGAAATCATTTCATTTGGTGATGGGAATATAATAATAGAATCGCCAGGATCACCTGGAGGGAAAAAAACTTATTTTAAATATTACTCTATTACTAACAAATACTATTTTATTTATGATGAAATCTACAGCAGTTTGATCTATTGAAAATAATCTAATTGAAGTGCCAAAATAGCGGCGCAGTTTGGCTATTTAATGAATAATGAAATTCAGAAATTTTTATATCCCCAAATATTTGCCATAAAAGTTTTTTTTTTAGATTGATGAAAATTGCAGTGAAATCGATATCATCACATTTGGTGTGAAAAGCAAGAATAAATAAATATCGTGGAAAATCTTGCAAAAAGAAATTAAATTCTTTCATAATTTTCAGATTGTGATTATTGTCAGTGGAGTCAGTGGAATCGGAAAATCTGCCATAATCTTCCCTCAAAACATCACTATTTACTTGTTTCATAACGTCTTCATTATTCAAACTTTAATTCAATTTCGAAAATTTTCGATGCAAGGGCGATTGGCCGTGACTCGCAATATTATGCTGAGGGAAAAAAGATTCAGATCTTGATTCTAACAAGTAAACTTGTATTAAAAAATCAATCCGATTGGTGCTGCCGATCTATATTCAGTTGATTATTTAGTAAAAATTTTCAACCATAATAATAGCCTGAGGAACGAATCTGGCCAGAAATAATGTATGCTAACCCAAATCACCGTTAATACTTTTTTTTTCACCGTTACCTTTTTTTTAAAACATTATCTTTATAAAATAACAAAATTAACTGCCATGAATCGCAATGAGAAATCCTAATGATTGAGAAAATAATAATTATCACTTTTCTAATTACTGATTTTCATAAAAAAGATCTAGAAGCTAAATAAAATAAAATAGGATCTTTAAATGAATTTTTCTTTCTTCATTTTAATAAATTCATATCTTTATTTATAATAAATATTTTTATTTTGGAAATATTTTGAATTTTTTTTAATAATTTGTAGTAATAATGACTTAAAAATGACTTCAAAAATTACAATGAAAGCTTTAAAAATTTAAATAATTGAAAATTAACAGAAAATGCATAAAAAAGAACTTTTTTTCTTAAACAAATTTTTAACATAATTGGAAATAACTACATTGAACAAAACTTAAAATTGGTAACCAAGAATTCATCACCAAATATATAAAGTGAGATGAAAAATAGATAAGAACGGAATGGAAAAGAATGAACAAAATATGCTAAAAGGTTTCCGATAGAAATTAATGAGTTTTATTTGAATATAATTCGTTTAGAATAATGTTTAAGATAGGATAAAGGGAATTTTTGTCGAAAAATTTTGTGCAAAAATTTTTTTATTTCTGTTTTTATTTATTATTTTTTTTGAAACTTTCATTAAGAAAAATTTGAGCGATTCAACTATAATTTAATTTAAATGTTCAAAAAGAAAAAAAATGGATATAAAATATTAGCTTCTTTTTTTTTAATACAATGACCTTGAATGGCTATCATTTCTCGTTCCATTTACTTATAAAATTCAACTTTTCCATAAGATTAGATAGAGATAGAAGTACAGGTGAATGAGGTCACCGTACCTGTCATTTTACATTCGCCACCACTTTTTTCGAGCTCGAGCAATTCAATGAGCATTTATATTTTTTGTATCTAAAGTCAAAATTATAAGAAAATTAGGAAAATTGGCGCTTTTCATCAATTCTATCATAATAAATCCACATTTTTTAAAATTTTATTAAATAACTCAATAAAAATAAAAAATAAATTTGTTGGAGTAAAATACCATAAAATTAATTTTAATTGGAAAATAACGAATAATATAAATAGATGGGTGGAGCAGATTTACCATAATGGGAGTGGCAATATTCGAAAATTCTTCTTACCTCGTTAAAGTTCTTAGCAGAAAATGGCAATCCTAAAACATCAATTCTCGAGCCAAAACAACAAATCCTTATCGATTCTTTATTTTTATTAGCAAAACTCTTCATAAATCTTCTGCTTTTTTTTTACTTTTATTCATATTTTTGTTTATTTTTCGAGAAATTCACCTTCAATTTAATGCACTGGCATATTGGTTTAAAAGAGAAAATTTTCCCTCTATAATTTATTCAGTTTGTTTCTATATTTTCCAAGAATTATAAGTTTAAAAATGAACTATCAAGTACTGTAGAGAATCGTTGAGAATGAATCTAATCAATAAATCTCCTCTCATGCTTTGTCAATCAATACCGTACCAATGAATTTTTTAATGCATTACCGATCAATACCGTATCAATGGATCTTCATTTTCACTTTACGAAGTATTTAATGTTTTGAAATCATTGGTTGTCATTGGTACCAAGGGAATTTTTCTTTATCCATATGCCAGTTGATTAGTAAAGTATAGTCTATGTAATTATGTTTAATATCTGACGGCTTAAAAGACTTTAATAAAAACTTATTCCTTGTTGAGAAAATTGTTACTGAAAACTATTTATATTTTAACCGCACTAGATCGGTTACTCAGCGAAAATATATTTGAAGGCATAAAAAAGAATTTTGACCAGATTTTTCTCGAAAATATTCCTTTATAGTAAATAAATAATATTGAAAAATACTGAATAATACTGGAAAATTTTTTCATTTTCATTTACAAAACTATGGATAAATAGAATAAGGAAGAACTTTAGAATTGTTTCCAAATGACAGATTTTTAAGTCATATATAACTGGAATTTATTATTGAGAATGATATGAGAACGACATGTATATGCCGAAATCTGACTGTTAATGGTACCTTATTTTACAACCAACAAATTTAGGAATAAAATTTCTTATCTCCAGTTGTTGTCATTGTTATGTTTATTATTTTGTTGCCAGCATATGACATGATTCTTTCCCTCGTCGTCTTTTTATAAATAAATAATTTAGAAATCGTTAAACAATATTTGAAGATATTTTATACAAAAGCTTTACAACACTTTTTATTATTTCAAAAAAAGAATGCTAATTCTAATATCGTCTAAGGACATGCTTTTACAAATTTTTATTTATTTCGATTGAAACGATTCCCACAAAATCCTATTAATCTTACTATCACCATTGTAATCTGTATGTGCCGCTGTATATTTATAACTTTACTGTTGCCCTACTGCTCTTATGAAATAACTTTTATTAACTTTGGAATAAATAAATAAAAAAAATCTCTTCATCATTGGCATTAATATTAACAATCATTAAGTTTTGAAGATAAAAGCACAAATTATTTTACGTCGAGTTTTATTTAGATTTACCGAGATTTTTATTATTTGAAAAAATCGATCCATTTAAATCGTTTCTTTTTGAAAAATAGAATTTTTAAATACGCAGAAATTTTTAAATAAAAACGCAGACTTTACTGGTGTTTAGCAAAAATTTATTTTTTTATAAGTTTAATTACTTCAATAAATCCAGGAAATTCTTAACTCTTAATTAAGAGTTAACTCTTAATTAATTCTTAACTCTTAACTATAAACTTAAAATAAATTCTTATCATACGTCTAACATACTTTTTTCCTTACCTTATCGGCAAATTTAATCATTCCTAATTTATTTTAAGCATATAGTTTGAATTTACTTTAGACATAAATCTCTTTTAAAATTTAATTTGCTTTTTTTTAAATCTCTAAAATTCAAATTATTCGAAATTTCACAACAAAAGCAATAAATGATCAACAATAATGAAAAGATGACATTATTATTTTAAATAAGTATAAGTAATTTGCCACACAATTTTCTCATAATTCAACAATTCACTAAAAACATCTTTTGTGTAAAGAATGACATTGAAGAATTTTCTACAAATTTCATCTATTACTTATTTTCATCTTTAATAAAATTTTTTATAAAAAATGCTGAAACTTTTCAAAATTTCTTAGATTCAATTAAAGCGAATTTGCAATTTTGATTCAATTGGTTTTATATTTTATATTTATTTATATTTTATATTTATTGATTTTATATTCATATTTTTAATTTAATTTAATTATAATTTAATATTGCTTGATTTTTAATTTAATCTAAGAATTGAATCCAATTTAAACGAATTGTATTAAATTTTATTCAAAAATTTATTTCAAAAATTTATTGCGATAGTAATTTATCGAGATGTAATTTTCAGTGGCGCATAATTGGTTTATCTGCTGAAATTAAGTGGATTTCTCTCAATTATTTATTGAAATATGATAAGATTAAATTTTATTCAAAAATTTGCGATAATGATAAGTTTTATCATTTATTTTTTTTCAAAGTTTTCAATTTTTTTAATTTCAGGCCTAAGGAATTCTATAATTTAGAAAAATGGTCGATTATTTAGGGATTATCGCAATAATATTTTTTTATATTTTAATTTTGGTTGTTGGAATATGGGCAGGACGAAAAGCAAAAAGCGTTAATTTAATGGATGGTGAGCAAACTGAAGAAGTTATGTTAGCAGGTCGAAATATTGGCACCATTGTTGGTACTTTTACAATGACAGGTATTTTTTGAATTCACCTTTGTCTTTTTATGGTGCATCTCCCAAAAATTTCTGGCTTAATTTTTTTAATATTCATAATTTTTTTAATATTCATTATTGTTCAATTACCATGATTATTAATTAAATTCATTAAATATACCTAGAGTTATTTATTTCAATTTTTTCTTGCAATTACTAATATTGTACCAAATAATTTTCTTGATTGGTTAATTGGTTGGAAAACAGATTATAAGCTTTCTTTAGAAATTTTTTGCTAAATATAATGAGAGCAAAAAATTGATATCCTGAATAAAAGAAAAAAATTTCAAAGTATAAACTAGATTAGGAAAAGCTATCGAGTGTGGGATAAATCTCTAGGGAGAAACAAAGGAATCAATTCAAATGCTCTCACTTTCTTAGGATTAATACTGAATTATTTTCTACTATTATAATGTATGGAAAGCACCACTTTTGCATAGTTGAACTATGCTTATTGATAATTTTACCCAATTCGGTTTCGTGAAAGATGAAGCGGTATAAAAGGATTAATATGAACTAAATGTTAATTATTAATTACATATTGCACTGTTTTAGCGATTCCTCTAATTAGCTAACAAATTCGCGAAAAATTGAGCATTCAAAGAAAAAGTAGTGTTGATTAAAATTCAAAAGGATTTTTTTTTGAAAAGATGAATATTTATTTTCACCCGTAAAGCATCGAAAAAACCAATAGTTGAGCGGAAAAACCAATAATAGAACTCATAAATTATTAACATTTATTCCTTCTTCTTCACGAAGTTTAGCAAAAATGCGATCTATTTTATATCGAAATTTTTAAATTATTTTCTTCATTATATAAAATGGATTCATAAATCAATGAAACATATTCTTCGAATCCATTTTTTCACTTTCATGTTCAAAAAATTAATTTTAAATATGAGCGATTTTTTATCATTCATTGTAAAATAGTGCTTAAGGAATTTTGCGTCACAAAATATAGGTTACTGCATGAGAATGATTTTATTTTTTAGGTAGCCTTTTTTAATTTCTATTTTATTGTTTTAATTCAAATAGCTTCTAGAGATTTTTTTTTGACTGGGTCAGTTTATTTTATATGAAAGAATAACTAATCTGCGGAAACACATTAAACTAAAGCTCACTAGTTTTCTTTTCATCATGAATTCAAGTCATTTGTCAATTTTTTTACCAAATGATTGTAATTTATAATTTATCATCCAAAAGGCAAATATTGATGACGCACGCTGCGCCCATAAAGAACTTTTCCAGTGGTGATTGACCAGAATATAGCACGTTAATTATCCGGAATGTTTCATGTGAATTGATATTTTCTTCAATGCTGCAATCATATATAATGAGATCCTTCTTAATCTCACAGTTATATAATATCAAATATTTAAAATTTATCATTCATAATATTTCGAAAGATATATTTTTCGTTAGTAGAATGTATTTGTTTTCTACTAAAATATAATTTATCATTATTATTTTTTTATCTAAGAATTATCTTCACCATTACTAATTAGACTCGTTCTGCCGGCTTGACGTGTAAGACAAATATGCCAGAGAGTCTCCCCGCAGTAGAAGTACAACTGAATCGTCAGCATTACCCAGATTTCTGGACAGGCTTACTTCTCCAGAATCTTAGCAGCCGAATTGTGCAACAATCCACTGAGCCATTCTGCCCCCTTATTAAAGTATAGTACACGGAAAATATGCATTATAGCACAATATTTAATGTGCGAAGTCCGAAGAAAATCCGAAAAGATCCCAATAAACACTTGCAATTGATTTAATGAATCAATTTAGGCAAATGAATTTTCAAAAAATTTTAGCTAATTAATTAATGACCGGTAAAATCCTTTTTCCTCTTTCTCATTATTATTATAAACAGCCACAATTCAAAAAAAATTGAAGATTTGTTAAAATGAGAATTTTATTATATAAAAATAATAGTGCGTTTCTAGATTTGGAGATTTCTCTTCAAGAACAATAAAAGTATGCTTTTTTCCACTATCATGTATATATATAAATCCAAAAGTTTCATGGATGGTAATCCAAGTTTTCCGCAAAATTTGTAAGAAATTGCTCCGAAAAATTTGATAATGATTTGCGCTTAAGAAAGGTATAATTAAATTGCCGTATAAGTATTTTGCATATATAACATAAATATATTTCAATTTTTCCAATATAGAACAACGAAACCCACAGAATATTAACGGTTTTATTAATTTTAATATCAATTTTATGACAATTTTTAATGTCAATCTGTTTTATTGAATAAGACCAGAAATATCAATTTTTTTAGCTGTTTAAAACTAAATTTTCACTAAACTAAACTAATTTATTCACTAAAGATGATAAATAATGCCATTATTCTATTATTTATATAATTGATTCAGTTTGATTTAAAAGAAAAATAGACGGTGGAAAATCGTATATTTGAAATAGAATTAGCTAAGAGCTGCAATGAATGATCGTTAATGAGATGAAAATTTGTGTTGTTGAACATATCTTGAATTCTTCTTAATCCTTCCCGTAATATTATTTTTCTTTTCATCTAGTTAATGTTTAAAAATATGATAATTGAATTTGTTGTTTTTTTGGCAATCCGCAATTTAGTCTGTATGTGATTCGAATATACTCAAAGTTAAATTATGAATTATATAGTTATACTGAGCGTTGGACAATCAGTTTTCAAAAGGTCTATCCCACTGAAGGAGGAGAAGGCCACTGCTGAAATTATTAAAACTCAAACATGAAGCAAACGATCGATGTATTATATTACATATATATCTTAGTAGAATATTAGGCATAGAATAGCTAGCTAGAGCCGTTAAAAGACATTTGAATATTTGAATAGTAAACACATACCATGGGAGTTATGATGCAAATAGGAAATGATGACTATGGATTAAGAAACTTTGAAATAAAACTTGAAACTTCATTCCTAAAGGCAACATTCGATAACATTTGATAAGATAAAATAAATTTTAAGGAGGAGAGAGGAAAAACTATTTATGATTTTTCTAATATGGTTAGCTAGTGAAAAGACCAATGGATAGCAGATATTCCTATAAATTCTGGCGCACCATTAGACTCGAAAGTCTTTATATTCTTTTAACACTGCTTATCTTATTTTAACTTTTTATACTTTTTTTCACACTTACGAAATCTGCATTATTCTCACGTAATCCCCAAATCCATTTCCTATTATATTCCGTTAACAACTTCGTTCACTATTGGCTTTGCAATTAATAATTTTTGGCTACGACAGCTAAAAAATACAGTACGAGGTTGAGCATCAAGGCAGCACAGTGATGGCGAATAGTGCTAAGAAAATGCTTTCGCTGCAAACTTTTTAACATTGAAAATAAAGTATTCTTGCACTATAATTATTAATTCTTGATTAATCATCCATATAAGCTCATCAATGATGACATAAAAAAATTCGCAATATTCCAGCAACATGGGTTGGTGGTGCATATATAAATGGTACAGCTGAAGCGCTATATAAGGGTGGCTTAGTAGGATGTCAAGCACCAATCGGTTATGCATTGTCTTTGGTTGTAGGGGGAATATTATTTGCTAAACGAATGCGCGAGCAAGGATATATTACTATGCTTGATCCATTTCAAGTAATTTTTAAACTCTATTCTCTAAAAAACTTTGGAATTATAAAATAACATTATAAAAACTCTAGAAAGCGACAAATTGCAAATGAAAAGTAAGTTGTACTTGGACCATTTTGTTTCCATTTTATCCAATGACATGGAACGACGCTCTTTGCTTAATTTAAAAAAAGAGCCTAGAGAAAAAAGTTCAGTGATTTTTAGTTAATATTTGCTTCAACTGAGATTGCAATAAATGAGAAAATCCAAAAGAATTGAACTTGATTCATCTCTGGAAGCTATTTTCTATTCTTATTGCAAAAATTGAGTTTTTCAAAAATTTTATAAGAAATCCTATAATGAAAATATTATCATTATAATAATATTAATATAAATTTTAGTAACATTCTATTCCATTCTATTGGCTTTCATTCATTTGATAACTTTTGCTTTTAAAGCTTTGCTATTTTTTACTAATTTTTTATTAATTTATCTACTTAATTTATTTTAGTTAAAATATGGCCAAAGAGTTGGTGGTTTATTGTTTTTCCCTGCATTACTTGGTGAAGTATTTTGGACGGCAGCTATATTATCAGCACTAGGTGAATCATTTCATGATCTCTTTCTTGAAAAATCGTTTCATGAAACGTATTTTGATTAAAATTTGAAATCTATTTTGAATAATTAAAATTTGATCGTAAAAAGAGAAAAAAGCTTTTCTATGCTTAAAATTAAAATTAGAATTAGATAGTTAGATCGCAACTGTTTTTACTGAAATATCGAGGATTATTAATTTTTAATAGTTGAGAATTTTGAGGTTAAAACATTAATAAATAGAATTCAAAGAAGAACTTAAGTATTAAAAAAATGGATTTTTTAAAATGCATTAATAAATATTTTATGGGAATCTTGAGAAATTCTTTTAATTTTAAAAATTTTCAATTTTCAAAATCGAAAGAAAAATAGCACAAAAACTTCCGTTAATTTTTCACTGCTTTCGATTGATGATGGTATGTTTTTTTGCCAAAAATTGAAAATTTTAATTAAAGCAAAATTCAGAATTCTTTTGTAGTATGCATAGTTAGATTTTAGGCGCAACATTATCAGTTATACTCGCTATTAATATGACAGCATCGGTAATAATATCAGCTCTTATCGCTATATTTTATACTTTTACTGGCGGACTTTATGCGGTCGCATATACTGATGTTGTTCAACTCTTTTGTATATTCGTCGGCCTGGTGAGTTTTGAAAGATTTCCAGAGAATTGAAATTTATCAAAAAGTCAGAACATTTTGATCGCAAAACTAATTAATAAAATAAAAAGCTAATAGAAAATTTTTACAGTGGGTTTGCGTGCCTGCGGCACTTTTGCAAAATAAAACTGAAGATCTTTCACGGAATGCAGCCGACTGGATTGGTACCATTGGTGGATTTAAAGAAACCACATCTTGGATTGATGCTATGCTTTTATTAATTTTTGGTGGTATTCCATGGCAGGTATACCATATATATTTTGAATACATATATTATACTTTGAAATAATTTTAATAATTATAATCTTTCAACAGTGACTTTAAGCTAGATTTTTATGCATTGGTATTCAATGTTTTTTTGTTTAATTATATTAAAACTTTTAAATGCTCTTAAATACGACTTTAGTAAATTAAATCAATTAATTAAAATTATCATCAAAAGTTATGAAAAGATTTTATTTCAAGGTATATTTTCAACGAGTCTTGTCAACAAAAACATCATCAGGTGCACAAAAATTGTCATTCATTGCTGGCATTGGATGTATTATAATGGCAATACCTCCAGCATTAATTGGTGCTATCGCTAGAAATACGGGTCTCATTTCAATTTAGTGATATCCTGAATTAAGATTCGCTGTCATAAATTTGTGGTGAAAATTTAGATTGGCGATTAACCGAATATGATCCATGGAAAAATGGGACAAAGAGTGCATCGATACCTGATGATCAAACCAACATGGTTGTTCCGCTTGTTTTTCAATATCTCACCCCAAAATGGGTGGCATTCATCGGTATTCATTTCTCAAATATCTTTTAAAATTTTAGTTTAATTTAAAATCAATTGTCATATAATTGAAATATGCGACAATATGTACAATATATAATAGCAGAAACACATTTTCCAAAATCGTTCATCGACCAAAATTATCCGAGCAACGTTGCTAGCTATATTTAATTTGTAAGCCATTAATTGAAGCGAAAAATATTAATAACAAAATATTTACGAAAATATATTATAAATACGAAAATATAAAAAATATTAATAACAAAATATTAATTAAACACCAAACACCGGCCGCTCATAGATAAGGCAGTCGTTCTAGGCTTAAAATCTCGACAGAATATGTGTGGAATAACTGTACGAAAACTTACAACTGAATGCCTCATATGGATCTGAACGTTTGGCTCTATAAAAAGTTAACAGGACCCTAAAGACGAAAAAAATGGGACTGTGGAAAACGACACTTGAAATCAACTCGAAACAGCTTGCACAAGTGGCTATCAAGTATGGCATATGTCAGGGCGATGCATGGCCTCCCCTATTGTTCTACTTGGTCTGAACTCCCTAAGTCAGATAATCACTAGAAGCAAATATGGATACAAATTAAAGAGTGGGACCACTGTCACTCATCTTCTCTACATGGATGATATCAAGTTATAAGCAAAAAATGAAAAAAGTGAACGAGACGTTGACTTGCTCATACATCTAACCCGGATCTATAGGAGGATGATCAAATATATCAAATATAGCCGGATTGTAAAGAAAGGAAGAGAAGATCCTGTGGAACTTTTCCATCTAAACAGACAAATAAGTTCTGTCCAATTAACCAGACATTGTGATAATATATAAGAATTAGAAATCAGGACTAGTGATAGATAAAGCAATACCAAGTAAAGGAATATCGGGAAGAAGGAATATGAGAAGTTAGAGAAATATCAAGGATTGAAAAAGAACTAGAGAGATATGGAAAGGTGATTCCTTTGATAATTGGAGCACTTGGAACTATGACTTTTAAACTAGAAAAGTGGTTTCATCAGATTCCAGGAACAAAATCAGAGATCTATATGCAGAAGAGCACACTATTAAGAATAACTAAAGTATTGCGCAGAGCCCTCAGTCTCCAAGACTTCTGGTCTAGACCAGACAACCCAATAAGTATGTTGAGGACCGTGATCAGCTAAAGAGGAGTGAGAAAAATTGTTTTACAAAATAAAAAATTATATATTCTGTATAAAATTATCTGAGAGACTTCGAGAAACTTTTTTATTAGGAACAAGCTAATCATTAATTAACCTTTGTTTTTATTTTATTTTTTATTTTAAATGTAATGATATTTTATGAGCAATAGCAATAATTACTTTTTTCGAAAATCTTTTAAAACTTAATGCGAAATTGTTATAAATACAAAGTATCCGATGTTTCCCATTATAAATTTCCCACCAGTTAATTTGACAAAGATTTTCTTCCCAAAGATTTTATTTGCTCAATTAGTCTCTGGAAATTTTTTTTTTATCGAACGATAATAAGTTTTCCAAGCATGAAAAATATTTGAGTTTTCACTTCATTAAATCTGACTAATGAACGAATGCAATTTTAAACATGTCCACTCAGTTATTTTTATTTTGGTTTTGCCACTTATAAATAAGGTCCTTACTCGTCAAAAAAAGAAGGTTCATTTCAGTCGAAGCAATACAGCACTTGACCATCCCAGTTCTTTTCAAGATCTAACACAAAAAGATAGCACTCGACCCTTTCTAAGCTCATTTTTAAGCTATTAGATTCAAAAAGAACAAAACAATTAACAATTATTTTTAAGCGAAAAAATTACTAGGAAAGCGAAATAATGATATTTGTTAAATTTAGGCCTCGGTGCAGTCTCTGCAGCAGTAATGTCGTCAGCGGATTCCTCCGTACTTTCTGCAGCGTCTATGTTCGCACATAACATTTGGAAACTAACCATACGACCAGATGTACGGATATTAAACTCAAGTACCACAGATTACATTACATGCGGCTACAATAAAACAGTCTCTTTTACTTCCAAATCTTTCAATCACTAAAAAAGAGCAATTTTTGTAATCTGATGGAATTATTCAATTATTCAGTTTTATAAGAATAATAGAGAGTTTAAATTATAGCAAGTAGTGTCGTGTCGAGTAATTTTTTTATCATTTGCCTTTATCAATTTCGTTTCATTTCATTATGTTCCTTTTATTTCGAATTTCCTCTTATTAAAATGGGTTTGTCCTTTAAAGATTCATTTTTCATGAAAATTTCTTCGATCATTTTTCAAATTATTGATTGATTAATGAAATTCGATTTTTGACAGTTAAATAATTAAATTTCAGGCTTGCGAACGTGAGGTTATAATTGTGATGCGAATGGCTATAATAGCAGTTGGTTGTTTAGCGACAGCCATGGCACTAACTATAAACAGTATTTACGGGCTATGGTACCTATGTGCTGATCTCGTTTACGTTATATTATTTCCACAACTTGTCTGCGTTGTTTACTATAATCGATCAAACACTTACGGTTGTTTAGCTGGGTATATAGGTTATTTTTTTATTTCTTTGAAAATCTTACAACAGACACAGAGTATTACAAAATTTTTTAACTAAGATCAAGCCATCATAGATTCAATTTTTGGTTTAAAATTTGACGGATTTTTGATTCATTTCTAACCTCAAGTGATTCTATAGTGGAGCTTCTTAATAGCCAATGGAATCAGTTAAATCAGAAATAACGACGTTAGAAGAAGGAGAATATCAGAACTGGTTGAGAAAAGTTTATATTTTTATAATGAAAGAAATTAATGATTTATTGATATTATTTATTGATTTATGATTTATAAGATTTAATGATTTATTTATCTTCTTCTTGATAATTTTGGGTTCGACATCCCTTTCCGTTAAAAAAGTATCGTAACCAATTCGTAATCAATCGTTATACCTCAAACTTGGGTAATTAAACCTTTTATTTTAAATCTAGACAATATAGAACATCACTAATAGCACAAAGTAAAATAGTAAAAACCACAAAATAAAATCACTAATCACACAAAATAAAAGAAAAATCGAAATATAACGGCCATCCTTCAGCTGACATTTGTCGTTAATTCTCCAGGATTCAAATTCATGGCCTTATATAAACATCTGAAGATCACCTCTGTGAACTTTGCTTCATTAGTTTGGTGAGCTGCTGAATCATGTTTTGCTCATTTTTGAGCACAATTTTATAACTTATAGGAAGCAAATTATAATATTTTCATGGATTGAAATTCTTAATTCGACCAATGTTTAATCAAGACATTTTAAATTATAGTTGGATTGTTGCTTCGCTTATCGGGTGGTGAACCACTTCTTTCTTTTCCTGCTACTATTCACTTTCCAATGTACGAGGAAATGTCGAATGCGGATGGAACAATTACGGGAACGCAGTATTTTCCATTCAAAACGGGAGCAATGCTTGCTTCACTTGTTGCTTCCATTGGTTTTTCGTATATATCGGAATATCTTTTTAAAACAGGTGACTGCTAAGGAAATAAATTTTTATCAAAACAATAAGAAAAAATTCTTAGAAGGATATTTTCTTGAAAACAGTTGTAATTTTTCCAAGTAATGTTTGTAAATGCCAGAAAATGAAAATAAAAAATTTAGAAGTTATCTTCATTTACGATCTTTTCTATCGGTATTATCAATGCTATACAACAAAATAAACTTAACAAATTTTTTCCAGTTATAAATTATAACCATGAATTCTATCATGCAATAATTATAGGATAATCTCTTCAGGCAAATTATCAGCAGATTTGGATTTCTTGCATTGTATTATAAATATACCACCAGAACGAATTGCTCTTCGATCAGATGCAAGTTTTATTAGCTGTGAATTATCAATTCAAAAAAAGGAAAGTATATTTAACGGTATATTTGATGGTTCTTCCACAGCAACCGAACTTAGTGCTTTACATCCAACTGTTAAAAGGGATTACTTAACTGTTAATCGTTCATAAAAATTAAATTTGTTTAAAGTAGTAGAATTAATAAATCATTCATTGTTTTTTTTTTATGTTAATATTTATTTAGAATGTGAATTTTGCATTTATCCATTCCTATGAATTATTTTATTTTTATCTCGAAAAAATAGCTAATCTATAGGACAAACTAGAAACGAAATGATATATATACCTTTGTGGTGAAATATTTGGTTCTTTAAGAAATTATCTCTAGTGGAAATAGCAAAATCTGAATATCGGAAAGTAAGTGAATGTTAGAAGATTTAGCTAATTTAGCTAATTTTAGACCATTTTTTTAAAAATTTGTATTAAATAATGCTGTAATTCTTTCGTTAAATCGGTTTAATTTACCAATTTAACTAATTTTTGCCACTTCTTCAAAATCAACTAGGATGATTTCCTTCTAAAGAAGGTAAAAATTCGCCACCATCAAAATTTCTTTAAACTATCTTTCTACGAGTCTAACGAATTCCCATTTCATCCAAATTTACCAAATCATTTTTTATGAATCATTGTAAAAAATTCGGTTAAGAACTAAAATCAAGATACTCTTTACCCTAGCATATCCATCTCCTTCTAAACCAAATATTCCAACGCAAGTGGGTGTTTACTGCAAATGCCTCAAGATTTTTCCTCATAAATCGTGACAGCATTCAATTTCTGTTCATCAACCAAATTTAAATTTACATATTGTTTTTCATCACAAATATAACTAATGGCTTCCGCATATACTCGCAAATACATCGTACTGGAGAAGAGCAAATCATCATAAACATGCAGTCTGCAATAATTGACGAAAGCTCTACTTTTATTATTGAGTACTAAAACATAACTTAATGTTAAGACAAAAATATTCAGTCCTAAAACAATTTAGCAAAATTCAAATGCTCTATTTCCCATGCTTAATAATAATGTTTATAAAATTATATAATTATTACCTGACAATCAGAATGAAAGACTTAAAAGGTATCGTCAGTTACGATTTTGCCATTTTCTGCTTTTTTTCTGTTTCAAAATGGAAAGTATCGAATGATCTTGATTAATGGCAATAAAAATTTGGCTATCTATCTATCAAATAACTATCAAAAATAGCGAAATCTATCTCGAAAAATTTAACTGCTGTCGGATATTACCATCAATTTTAATTCAATTAATTTGAAATTAGCCGGGATATTAAAATGTTCTTCGATAATAATTATTCTTAAATAATATAATTTATGAATCAAATGAAAAGAAAATGCAACCCTGAAACAACAAAAAATTATTTATTCTTTTTATTTGCCACTGAACAAATAAAATCGAAACAATTTAAGAAATTACTTTTAAGTAAAAAAAATCGAAATGAAATATAAATAAACTTTTAAAATATAGATAAAGTTGCAAACAATGGCACTTTATGGACGAAATTGTTTTCTACACGAATTAATATTTATATATAAATTATTAATTTAGAGCTATAGATTATAAGAGGAAAAAAATAATTCCTCTTAGTATATTTCATTCATCATCGCAAATAAGACAAATTTACTCACCATCAATAATTCTTCCTTTCAAATTAGCTCGGTATTACCAAATGCCATGTACTTAAAATAATTAAGCATTTAAACAATAAAAGTAAAATAATGAAATAAATAGAAATACTTACAGCTGAAGTAAAATATGGTACAATGCCTTCGAAAATGCGCTATTAATGGGAGACTACGACAATTTACTGTTAAAAAATATATAAACCACGAAAGACAAGTTAAAAATTAAGTGAAACGATGCAATGACCAATTTAATAACCACACTACCAAAAAAAAGCCTTATGTAAACTAGAGGAATGGTATAAGTCGAGTGTCGAGCAACGCAAATAATTAAAATTTGCCAAAGACAAATTAAAAACATTACCAAATATTATTCATGAAGAACTTGAATCAAATACCATCGTTAATTACCAAAAAGTTCCCTAAGCCTGAAAAAGGTCCCACCATGGATTGAGCTCTTACTCCAAGAAAATTCGCGAATACAAAATTCTTCAAAATTTAAAATCATTGAAGTGGATTCAAGCTATTTTAATCCTAAAACAACCAAGAATATTTTACAATGATTCAGCAGTTCTTCAATTTTTCATTGTGAGACTTTAATAAATGAATAATAAAAGTTGAAAGGAAATAAAAAGATAAAAAAAAGATGAAATTAAAATGGAGAAAATTAATAGTCAAACTGATCCATAATTTGTTGTTGGAATTTGGACCTTTGTATTACCATTATCAGGAATAGATTCGGTCGTAAAAGGCATTGGAATAGCAACATCGGGCTACAATTTCATAATAATAATAAAAAAAAAGGAATGAAAAAAAAATGAGTAAAATGACTAACTTTTTTTTTCTTTTTTGATTTGTTGGCTTTTTATTATCATGCTAATGATTTATAATATTATGCTAATGATAATGCTAATGCTAATGATACTTTCACAATTTATAATTTAGCACTTATTTGATTTCTAAAAAAAAACTAACGTTTCCCGAATCTCTTTTCAGTGGGGAAGATGAAGAAGAACCACTTTCGCGTGGCTGCTCCGTTATAGTTTGTAAATCATTATCACCATCCAGAATATCAACATTTATTCCACCCTCCTAAAAGTAAAAGAGATTTCTACCATGCTATCGGATTCCAAAGAATTTCAGAGAATCAAAGTTTTTCTTTCCTACTTAGATCGAATAATAACTGCCACAAAAACTATAAATACTTCTTCAAAATTGAATTCTTTCGGCTTATACTTTCCACAACAAAAATTGCAACAGCAATTGCAACAGAACATGAATCCGCAACAACAGCAGCACCAACAACAAGTAGATATACCACAAATGATCAACAACCACTAAACAATTATCAATAAATAAATTATATGTTCTTTAAAAACAAAATATAAATAAAATATAACTGAAAATACAAATATAGGCCAAAATTGTCACAATACTAGGTCTGAAAGTAAAAAAATGGCTGAGCCTTACCTTAAACCATGGTCTAAATACCAACCGCATAACTTTATCATCATCCCCAAACTGTTCTAAAACTTTTAACCCAACTTCGCCATATTCATCATATACTTTACGTTTGGTAGGATTCGACAGAATCGCATTTGCATAATTTATTTCTTTAAACTAAAATCATTTGTAAACAAAAATTGAAATCAATTTTGAGAAATATTTCCTTAATCGAATGAAAATCAAGTTGTAAAATTAACAATTGTAAAATAAACCTTATAACCCTATAACCACAAAACCTTCAAAAGAACAACAGAAAGTCAACATTAATAATAAAAAAATAAAGAATTAGAAGAAAATTGAAGCCATACCTTTTCGGTTTTTTCTGGATCTCCTTCTAAATTTTTATCTGGATGGTACTTAAGTGCAAGTCTGCGATAAGCGCGCTTAATTTCATCATCGGTCGCCTTTTTCGTGAGTCCCAAAATATCATAAAGTGCTGTCCTCTTCGTGCTAGAAATAAAACGTTTTCGGCTTTATTTCCAATTATTATTGCTTGATTTGTTTCAATTTTATTTTTATTTTAAATTCTAATTTCCGATCTTCTTGATATTCTTGTTTTAAAATTACCTTTAAAAGAATAAACACTTTATTTTAAATTCAAAGAAAATATATAGAAATTGTAAAGAAAAAAAATTACGAATCTAAAGGTGAAAAAGGCCGAGAATGACGATTAGTATCGTCCGATGAGCCAATATTTTCAGTTTCCGTCGCATTACGCATGTGGAAAATCTTTGAAAATTATAATTGTCCAGCTGAAAAAAATTAAATATTCAATATATTTCATAAAGAAAAAAATATATATCCAATTTTCTCGAGAAGCAAACCCATAATCCAACTGCGTACATAATAAATTGCCAACAAAAAAACAATTATTTACGGAAACGCTAAATCATTATTGCATCGAGTAAATAAACGATTCACTTATTCAATTTATCCACTTAATAAAAATTATTGCTATTATTTTATTAATAATAAAAAAAGTGGTCATCTGCAAAATTACAGAAATAAAAAAAGAACTTTAGGTTAAAAAATGATTAAAAAGATAAGGCAAAAGTTTGCTAAACAAAAAAATCAGAATGTGCAAAAAATTTGAAAGACAAGGCTGCTAGGTTCACTGGAATAAGCACTGCGAGTTTAACTCTCCCCTGCGGTCACTTTTTCATTTGAGATTCGTCTAGCTTGTCTCTTCAGTGCACGTGCGTTTCTGTATTTACATTCTCCTTGCTTTTTTTATTTTCATCGATCTTTTTTGCGATCAACAACAAAAATATAATAAACTATAAAAAAAAAGAACCTAAAATAAGCAGATGCATGAAAGAGGAACTAAGGATGAGGAAAATGAAGTACTGGAACACTTGGAACTGTAACCCTTAAACTGAAGTGATTTCAACAGATTCCAGGAACAGTCAGAGATCTCTATCCAGAAAAGCGCATCATTAGGAACAACTAAGATAATAGGTAAGTCCCTCAATCTCCCAGGCCTTTGGCAGAGCATCCGAGGTCGAGACAAAACTCACACGGGCTGAAAAAGATTTATTTTTCAGCCAATATATACGCTTATGCAATCAAAATCCCTCCTATCTTTAAATGATTGGAGCTTTGCTTCTGAACTATTATTGTAATTAATGTATGTAGATGATGTTCATGCGAAACTAAATGCAAATGTGGAAGATTATCCACTCGGCGGTTACTTAAAATCCAGAATGCATAACTCAGAATATTGGAAAAGTTGAAAACCGAAGGTTTTAAGATGGCTTCTACTCACACTTGTCATCGTTCCTTATGCGCAACGCGTGAACTTTCGTTCCGCTGTTAATTTCGTAGTGACTCCGGAAAGATTTTGGATCCACGATATTTAAAAGCTGATAATTCAAAAATCGCTGATGAATTTACGAATTTATAAGTTCTTGCGGACGACTGCTCTATATCACTGCTATATATATTTCGCCTTATTTGCTATGGAACGCGATCCTCGCTGCAAAAAATCGATGTCGTTTGTTGTAATTTTTATGATCCTTAAAAACATCGTACTGCTTAATTCAACGGCGATGACAATATCAATAATTTAATCAGTGGCAGATTTCCTCGCTGTATTCGCTGCTCCCTCCTCGTCCCAACACTTTATGCTCTTAACACTTGTTCAACCCGTCCTTTCTATCGCCTCTAACTCCTCCACCAAACCTCTTTGATTATTCCTTTTTCCATGCTAAGATATTGAACTTTTACCAATATTCAATGAACATTACCCTTTTACGCTTTTATTTCCGCACTATCTCTAATAGTTCTTTCTTCTTCGCATTCCTCATAAATAAGCAAATCTGCCTTCTCACTTCACAAAAACATTCACAACGTAAGAAAATATCAAAAATATCTGAATAACAAGATATCAACCTTGATCAATTCAAATAGTTTGATTATGACCGAATCTGCAATTTAGTAATTTTTGATAGGTCTATAACCAACAAGTGTTTAGATTACCCCGCCTTTATTTATGTTTAAAAATGTTTAGCCGGAAAAAATTTTGATTTGACAGAAAAGATGAACTGGTTTAAAACATAAAGGAAATTTCATTTGCACTTAGAAAAAGATTTTTATTTTTTACTTTTATTTTCTATTTTAGTGTACAAATATTATATATATTCTCACTCTACTGGGTTCTGTTGATTTCACGTATAGTTTTGGACAGAGGCACTTGGAAACACCTCGTCCTTGTAGGCTCATTTTGTTCTATTATTCTAATTATTAAAATTATTCTAATCAGTAATGATATGAGGTATTCGAGGAAATACTTCCATTTATGAATTTTCGTGACATCGATGTTGGCAAATCACATATAATATAGTTCCTTTTTGCTTTGATTCAAATTCATAGGACCGAGTGATATGAGTGCTTCGATTCGCATCATAGGTTGTTTGGCAGAGTTGAATCTGTCATTAAAATTCTTATTATTTATTATTTTAACAGTTGTCATTAATATAAGCACATGGCGTTTGCGCCCTGCTTGGCTGATTTTCAATAAATAAATAAATAAATATTAGAATCATTTGAGAAAAAATCTGGCAACTATACTTAAGGAACTCTCTAATAAAGATTTCTAACTATAATAATAGTCGCAGCTAACCATAAATGCTGAGTACCTATCACTTCCTTTCAAGTGTCGAGAAATCTGTAAAAAGTTTTTAAAATTCGAAAGATGCTAAAATCAAAGAATGTGATTTAATATTTTATATAAATATAACTTATATATATAACTTCCGATAGTGTTCAATAAAGTTTTAGCATTTAGTGATAAGATTTCCGATTTATTTTCAAATTATTTTTCTTTTACAACAGGTAACTATCTAATTTTCTAATTTAATTTTTATCAGTTGTAATTTTATATAAATTTGAACATGTTAATGTGCAAATTTAACTGTGCTTCAAGAAGTGCTGAAAGCACAGTGCAGTGACATTTCAGGGAAGCATCCGCTGATTTTCTTGTTCTTCTAATACCTCTCACCATTACTGGTGAGGTTGGCTGCAATGGCTACAAGGGTAAGACGCTTCCAAGCGGCGCAATTTGATACCATCATCGACCCCATCGATAGAAGCCATTCCTTTTTCCATCGTGTAAGTATTGCTGATCCATCTATACGTTCAAAATCTTTCCTGACCGTATCAGTCCAGGTCTTGATTGGCCTACCTCGCTTTTAGCTCCAACACGATTTAGCAAGTCACGAAATATGCATCAACTCCTATGGTGGACAACGGAGAATATATCCTAACCAGCGAAGGCTCCGTGATAACATTAATGCAAGTGGTATTTGAGCGAAAGTGGATAAGATCATGTGATATTTGATATTTCATCAGCTCTATGGACTCGTAAAATGTACCAAAGGCATATAACTTCTTAATATCCTCCACTCTCATTGACCATGTCTCAGAGCCATATTGCAAAATCGAATGAATCACGGCTATATAGATGTAAATTTTCGTTTTTATGGCGATTTCACGACTGCTCCATAACGTTTCATCAGTCGGAAGAATTTCTAACTGCCGTGATACGGATTGTAACATCGTCTTTTGCTTGGCCATTCGGTATTAGAGTAGATCCAAGGTATTTAAAATTGAGCACTTTCTCAACCGGCAATAAATTTATAAAAATTTATAAAATTTATAAAAAGAGGCATGAGGCATTTTATCAGCTTTTTGCACATAAAACGAAAAGATTTTCTTTCTATTTACTTACTTTCTTTCTATTCTATTTGACCCTGAATCCGATTCTCGCTGCATTTGTTGACACGTTATTTGGCATTATTTGCATTTCGTCATAACTGTAAACGAAAAGGACTAAATCATCAGCGTATTCAGGATTTGTAGTACAATGCTGTGGACTGATTTGGACAGCTCTTAAGTGCCAACAAGCGGTATCCATTATCCAGCCTATCGCATAGTTGAATATTGTAGGGGAAAGAACACAACGTTGAGAGACACCAGCTTTTATTTCGAAGGATTCTGTCAGTGCCCCATATACTTGCGCCAATGTACGCTGATAAAATGCCTTCATGAGTCGAATGATCTTCTCTGGAACACCGGCGTGTTTTACCACCCTCCAGAGCGCTGCTCTATCAATTGAATCAAGGAGGCCACCGCAAAGTCGATGAAACACGTGATAGCGGGTTGCAACTATTTGAAGCGATGCTTTCCTTCTTAATGTGAATATGTGGTCAGCACAACCGCGCCCCAGTCTGAATCCAGCTTGATTAGGACTCATCCGCTGTCCCGTACTTCCACAAATAAAAGGAAAACAAAAATTTTCGCTTAGACATCTAGTGATTCCTCGATAACTGACCTGTCACCTTTGTTGAGAATTGGGAGCAGAATTGTTTTGTTTCCAATCATCTAGTAATTTTTTTTTTCCATACTAGAGAGTACATTTGTTGAAGGTACGTTATGAAGGACACGATGGACAACATTTGAAAATTTAGCCAGAAGACCATCTTTTTCCTGAGTCTGGATAAATTTCTGATATTAATATTTATTAATATTAATAATTTTATTTTCGATGCTTTTTTTGTATTCGCTATAATTTCATTTTATTTTTATTACTAATAAAATTATAAAATTACTAACAAAAATTTTTATTATTATTACTATTAATGTTTTACATTTTATTGTTTTAATTTTAATTAATTAAATTTTTAATTAATTTTTATTGTCGTATTTATTATCATTTCATATTTATTATAACCATTATAATATTTTTATTTTTATAGTAGTTATTTTATTACGATGTCTTTACTATTATAAATTTGCTAATTTTCTAGTTTCTTCAGTTTGAGATTATATATAAGCATTTTATAACCATTTATTCACATTATAATCTTTCTTTTGTACTTTATACTTTTCAATTACCAGTTGCTCACTAAAAATATTAAATTGTTTAATCGATTGCTGGAAACTATGAATGATTATTTAAAGATCTGTAAACTGATAACTAACCAAATCTATTTAAATTTTAAAGTATTGAAAATAACAACTGACATTCTTTCGCCATTCTTCCTTCTTTTTATCGAATAATGCAAATTTATCGTTTTATAGCCTTTTTTTATTTGTTGAAAAAATTCGATTCACCGTCTTCCTTACATTCTTAATTCCTTGCATTAATAAATCCAATATTATGATTTCACTGATTTATTATGATTTATTAATGCTTATATATTTTCTAAGACGCCTCTCTCCTAATAAAAATTATA